CTTTTTTTTTTTTTATTTTAATAGCTTAATTAATAAAGGAACTCTGAAAACCATGACAGATTCTTTAGATATTTTAGCACAGGACTCTACGGAAGTTAGCACGGGTGCAAATGGCTTAATTGTTGAAGTTGTTTTTCTTTAATTTTATCTACTAAAAAGTCAATAATCATTTATTTTATTTTCTTAGAGGAATTATTATCTCCTGCCCTTGTCCAAAAGATGAAGTCCTTACCTAATCTATCTTATGTTCTATTTTGTTGACTCCTTCTAACCTTCAAAGCGTAGCTTAATTAATAGTTTCTCTTTGAAGTGAACATAATTGACTTGAATATTCAAAAAGCCTCTGAGTAAACCTGTCATAAAAGAACTTTAACAGAAATTATGAAATAAAAGAAAAAGTATTGTTGTAAATTAAAAATTGGTTATGCAAGGAAAAGGGCATAACCATTGCCCTCAGTCTACTGGCTGTGCCCCTGTTAACAGCCTTGGATGCTGTTGGCCTGTTTTGCTGCCGGGGCACATGGCTGGCCCAAATAACACGGCTCAAGGACAGGACTGCCCCTGGGTCTAACAAATATCCCCAGCTTGGTGTCATCTGCAAACATGAGGATTTACACTTCCATTACCTCATCGAGGGCTGTTGATAAAGTTAAACAGGACAGGTCGCAGTATAGACCGGCGATACTCCACTTGCTACAGGCCTCCAGATAGACCACAGCTCATTAATAGCTATCCTCTGAGTTCCAGCATCCGATCAGTTTTTTACCCCTCTAGTTTTGCACCCATCCAGACTGTAATGTCCCAGCTTGAATACAAGAATATTATGGGAGACAGTGTTGAAAACCTTGCTAAAATCGAGGTAAACGACATCAGCTGCGCTCCCTGCATCCACAAATCCAGCTATTTTATCATAGAAGACAGTGAGGTTGATCAGGCATGATTTGCCTTTAGTAAATCCGTGCTGATGGTTCCCAATCACACTGAGGCTTTGAGAGGTCAGAGGTATTTCTTTTCCTTTTTTTTTTTTAATCTGGGCAATTATATTGACTGCAGACCTTGGCTGACTGTTGTCAGTTTTCAGATCTGTTGAGCCCCTACAACACCTACTAAAGTCAGCAAGAGCTGCTTTCTCTACAGCTTGAAAATTTCCCTCGGGTTAGGAGCTGCACCCTTAGTCATAGTCTGTCTCCTGAGGATAATCCTGAGGATTTCTTTTTGGTCTTTGTGTAAGTATTTCAAGCTCTTTTTGCATCAGAAGCTTTCCCCCTCTGCTTTTATACATCACTCCAGCATACCCCCCTACTTACAAAACCTGTGACAACTTTCAGTGTTTTCTAAGGTTCTGTTCTTTCTTAGAAAGATAGCTTCTCTGTGAAATGCTCAGGATTGTCTCTATCTCGCCATCTCGTCATTTACAGTTGAGTGGAGATTGTTTAACATGACTCACAAAATTCCTTTTATCAGGAGATCACAAAGTAGATGGCATGGTTGCCATTTGTACAGCCTGAAGAAAATACGTCAAAATTCATCTAGTTTTCTGTTTATCATCAGAAGTCGAACCACATTGCCCAACACAGTTTCTTCAAGCTCAAGTTTCTTGAAGCTCCACAGATTTGTAGGTGAATCTACATTTTGAATTCCAGCTTTCACAGATACTAAGAGGAGTCAGAGCTGTGGTCTTGTGCCTGTGTGTTACAGTTGCGTGCCTAAATTAAAATAAAAACTGATCCAAAGAAGTTTCATCCACATTCCTATAAAAGTTACCGGTCCAAACATCTCTTTTCAGAGTCAACAGCTACAGCTTTAGTTTAATAATAGAAATTTGCTCAAAAATGGTCAAAGTGAAGATGAAACACCTGAAAATGACCAGGCCATTAACTCACAGACTAATTTGCTCTGCGTTCCCCCTCTCTGTTTCACCATGTTACTAGTATACTGAAAATTCTTCAGACGTGGGATCCATGCTGGAGGGAGAAAGTTGTATTAGTCAACTGGTAACTCCATGTTCTTTTTTTACTGCCTGAACACATTAGCACTCCAGCAGTAAGTGCACATGATAAGACTGTTACTGAGCTGATCTTCATCTGATATAAAAGTAGGCAACTTCTCTAAAGATCTCAGGGGATCTTTCATAGTAACTCCACTTACTATGAGAGAGGCAAACTCTTCTTCGAGATGCGTAGCAAAAGGATGACAGCAAAAGGATGCACAACAAATGGATGTCATCACACACAAGATATAGGAAGGGAAATTCTGACTATGAATAAGGGGAAAAAATCACAGTGAGAGTGGTACAGCACTGAAGCAGGCTTTCCAGAGAGGATGCCAAGCCTCCATCCTTGGAGATAATTAAAACTCCACTGGACAAGGCCCCAGGCACCCTGACCTTTGAAATGAGTCCTGCTTGGATCAGGAGGATGGACTAGAGACCTCTGGAGGACATTTCCAATCTAAGTCATTCTATGATTCCTTCTCTCCAGTTCTTTTCAACTGTAAGCTTTACTTTACCTGGGGCTGACCGGCTGGAAAGCAGCTTTGCAGCAAAAGACCTAGGAGTCCTGATGGGCAGCAGGCTGAGCCAGCAGGCTGAGCCTGCGCTGCCAGCAGGTTAAGGGAGGTGATGATTCCTCCCTATTCATCACTGGTGAGACCACATCTGGAGTACTGTATCCAGTACAAGAGAGAGATGGACATTCTGCAGCGAGTCCAGAGAAGGCTACAAAGTTGATTAAAGGATTGAAACATCTGTCATATGAGGAGAGGCTGAGGGAGCGGGGACTGTTTTGCCCGGAGAAGAGAAGGCTCGGGGGGTCTTATCAATAAATACCAGATGGAGGAGCTAAACAGATAGAGCCAGACTCTTCTCAGTGGTGTGCAGTGAGAGGACAAGAGGCAATGGGCACAAAATTTGATTTGGAATATAGAAAATTTCAACACAGGAAATTCCACTTATAAAATAAGAAAAAGGTTTCTTTACTGTGAGGGTGGTAAAACACTGGAACAGCTTGCCCAGAGAGGATGTGGTGCATCCATCCTTGGAGACTGGGCAATATTCACAACCCAGCTGGACATGGCCCTGAGTAACCTGCTTTAGGTGATGCTGCTCTGGGCAGGGAGGTTGAACTACACGATCTCCAGGGGTCCCTTCCAGCCATGATGATTTTGTGATTCTGTATCAGCAACAGAGCCTAGCCGTGGATGCCCTGAATACACCAGGATACTGTTCATCTCCAGGATAGCATTCACTCATCAGTCCTCTTCCCACTGCCAGCTCCCACCTGCTTCCTTGCCACTGTGCTGGGAGTTCTTGCGTTCCTAGAGCAATACCACAGGCGTCAAAGACAAGCTTCAGCTGTTCATGAGACGTGTTTGTGATCTAACTCACAGATGCTGCTCACTCTTTAGCCACTTCCCATCAGAACTGTGTCAGTCCCTGCCTAGAGTGCTACCAGGATATTTTAGCTTCTGGAGAATAAAATCTGGTAAAGAAGGTTGACATTCCCTATCATTTCATTCATACCTGAGAGGTGCTGAAGAGCAATTCCACACGACAGATGAAAACAACAACCTTCACCTCCCCAAGTCTGTCTTCAAGAAAAGAGATTGCAATGCTTAGGTCCATCAAGAGCCCTTGCAATGCTTAGGTCTATTTTACGATGTGCTGAGCACCTTTATATCCTGTTGAAGCCCTTAGATTTTGAAAAAACAGAAATGGCCCTACAGTGCTAGTTCTGAGGAAGCTTACAGCTGATATCATAGTGAAGCAGTTAAAACTAATGTGAACTAGACAAACTTCAGTTATGTCAGGTCATGGGTGTTATGCAGAAAATGCATTCAGTCAGTCACCTGGAAAAAAACATATTTCAGTTCAAACTGTGTAAAGAAACAATCCCTGAACATTAATGTTGCTTAGTAACAGGTCTTAGTTCTTTAAGTATTTGAGAATGACATGGATTTAAATGACTGGCACCATTGTTGCATGTGTGAAATGAGTTGTATTCTCAGCTTAGATAGTACTTAACAGAAATGCACATCATCTGTCACAGCTGGCATTAGCTGGGACCATCAGTGGAAGTCTCAATAGGGAGGTACAGATGCGAATAGCATAGCATCTGAGCTAGCTTTTCTCCTTCCTTGTGATTCCTTCAGATTGCTAGGGGGGCATGCTGGGAGGTGATTTCCCTGTTGCTATCCATGCTGTGAGTGATCTGCAGTCCAGCACCTTTCATCTTCATTAGGCTTAAGAATTAGCATTCACCAAAATGATATGTGGAATGACTCAAGTAATACATGGTGCAACCCTTTAGCATGCATGAAGACTCCCTTGTACTTCAAAAAAATTAGCAGCTCTTAGACTTCAATAAATAATCCAAAGTGGTTTCATTCAAGCTTCCCTTTTGACAGTTATTCAGAAGGCCAATATTTCATAATTAATAGCTGTTCAACCAAAACATTGGCGTTCTGAAAAAATAAAAAAGTGGCAATTTGAAAGAAAACACTTAGGGTTATTTATTGAAGTCGAAGGGCTGTTATCTTCTAAAATACAAAGAAATCTTTACACACTGAGGGAATTATGCTTGAGGATTTACCTGAATACATTTACATTTAAAAGGGTCTTTCATTTTATTTTATTTACTTCTAAAAACTCTGATATGTTTACTACTCTTTGTTCATAATGCTTAAAAGAAAATGAAAGGTTACTCTGAGAAATTGTAGTCAGTCATTTCTGTGCCTCTTCCTTCACAAACAAGTTTTTTTTACTGACGAATACATTTTCAGGCTTATTTATGAAGCATCAGTGACATTCAGTGTTCAGTTAAAGTACTGTAAGTTAATCACTTTTACGTGTTGTACATAGTTCTTCACCTTCAGAGCTTGCGGGTTTGGGGCTTTTTGTCTTCTTTTAAACTGGTGGTGTAAGGTTTTAGAATCTTGTTTTGCTAGTTGACTGCATATAGGGCTTCTAAATGGAATCTTTTTTTTTTTTTGTTTCCTTCTAGGCAGTTGACATCCTTTTGCAGCATGGAGCTTATGTGAATGTTCAGGATGCAGTTTTTTTCACTCCACTGCATATTGCTGCATATTATGGCCATGAACAGGTAACTAAATGGGGGAAATTTGACAGAGCTGAGAAATGAACCACTGAGATAAATATAATATTTCCAAGGAAGTGAAAATCTCTTGCCAGTGATAATTAAATGGCAATTATACTGATTTGCCTTGGAATTCACAGATTAAATTGTTACCACTTTCAAATTAACGGAAAAACTGAGGCTTTACAGGGCAGATTTTCCCTGAGGTATTGTGCATATGACAGGACAGACTGTGCTTGTTTCATTTACGCAGGTCGTGAAATTATTAAAAAGTATGCTGAAGTTCTGACCAAAACTGACATCAAACCCCCAGTTCCCTTTCTTTTGCTGAAGTATTGTTCGTACATGGTTTATTTAGTAATCCAGTCAGTTGCCCTGCAATAGTCCTTTTATGTGAAAAGTAATCACGGATCGGTGTTGGCTTATGCAAGTCATTCCCCATACCTTTCTTTGGCAAGAGGCATGTATGCTGAGATATTTTTGAATTTCAAAGCATGACCTCTAGGTAGAGTGTACTTCTCGCTTCAGTGATATGTGACTTAGAGCGCGTTGAGGAGTAGTCGTGGGAGAAGCTTTTGAAAGGACAGGATCCAGGCGCACAAATAATTGGAAATGCTCCGCTTCTGTGATCTAGTTATGGCAAGGGTGTGCACAACGCATGTAGTCCTGAGATCCTTTTTTTAATGTATATTCACCTCATCATCCAGTAACATTAAGAAGCTCCTTACACATTGGGCTGAGAGATTAATTTACTTATTTGCCATGATCCACTTTTGAGCAAATAGTCACAGTCTAGTGAAATTATGCAAAAATGCATATGGTGCTTTTGTGATAAGAGACACTGTTCCGAAAGAAAGCTAAGGCTCTGACACATCTAATTTGTGGACTTTGAGGACACTCACTTTATTATGCTGTCTGGTTAGTTAAACAAACACGTGTCTTCTAGCCCTTTACCATCCATTTAATTTTAGAGAATGAACTAGCATTTGCTCTTGAGTATTTTAATATTTTTATAGATATGCAATTAAAAAATGAGTTTCCTAATGAATCTCCTCTCCCTGTTTTAAGAGATGTTCACATATAGTATTAACCAATGCAATATTCTTTTTGGTTTTGTCAAAACATATATTTTCATGTGATATTTCAATTAATCTTGATGAACTATATAGGTAACCCGCCTCTTGCTAAAGTTTGGAGCTGATGTGAATGCAAGCGGGGAAGTTGGAGACAGGCCTCTCCATTTAGCTTCTGCCAAAGGCTTTCTCAATATTACAAAGCTCCTGATGGAAGAGGGAAGCAAAGCTGATGGTAAGAAAAGATATAAAAACATTCAGCTTTAATATTGTATTTTAAATGCTGAGTCAAGCTTTGAATCTTGAATTTAACTTCTTAACACTTTGTGCGTGTGTATGTTTGTGTATTGACTTTGGGCAACTGTAACAAAAAATAACAATTGGAGAGCTATTCATTACTTGTTTGTGTTGTCATCTCTCTTGCATTTTGCTGCCATGAATAAGTTGGAGGTGAAAAACAACAGCAGAAAGCATATCTGAGATTAATATATAGAGCTAGCTTATTAATGAGATACTGATCCAATCAGAGAACACGTGGCCATGTGGCCTATATCTCCAGTCATAATTATCTAAATGCACAATAAACTGCTAGTGGATGAGATATAGATGAAGGATTTTAAGCCAAAATTATACAGCAAGTAATTTAAAATAATTCAGATGAGAAATTGCAAATGGTTCACAAAATCTAGGAACAGAAAATGAAGAGGAATCTATTTAGCACATGCTTCATTATGCTGCAAGCTTCATATGCATCACTGAGGAGCATTTTCCATAAGGAAAAGTGTGGCGGGGGGGGGAGATGCATAATTGGTTGAACTGATATAAAAGTTTATTAGCATGCTTTTTTTATTCTATGCAAGTTAGGAATATGTGCATTCTTTCTGTAGGTGATCTCATGCTCAAACCAATAAAACCACTACATTGCAGTTCAGTACTGTATATTTTGCATGTGCCACAATTTAAAATATTTTCCGTTTTAATTTATATTGGTACTCTACTAGTAGTACTGCCTGGTTCTTATGTTTACTCTTTTGTTCCCTCTCCTTATGCTGTTTCAGCAATGTAGAAGGCACAAAACATAGCACACTAACCTTGCCCACTCCTTCCATCTCAGCTAATAAAAGGGGATGTTAATGCAGAGGTTTATACACACTAAACAATAGTAAAATTATTTGGAAGGCTACTTCTTATCCTCAGAATAAGAGAAAGAAAAAGACTTTTGAAAAGGAGCAGTATACTCTTTGCAAAAGTACTGCTCTTTAATTCTCTTTTAGACTGCATTTTTACTGCTGTTAACTTATATCCAAAATATACAAGGTAAAATCTTGGTCCCCTTGAAGTCAGTCACAAAACTCCCATTGATTTCAGTACAGTCAGGATTTTGCCTAGGGAGACAATCACTGTTTGATCTTGAGAGAGCTAATTAAAAAGCAAAACTGGAAAAACAAGACAAAATAAAAAGCAAAATGCGGCAATTGCTGCAAGAATCCTGCATATTATAGAAAGAACAAAATTATCACAATTCTTCAGCTGCTGCCTCTCAATCTAGCATGCTATTTGATATCTAGTATCAGTCCGATATGCACAGCTATTCATGAATAAAAAACAATAGATCATAACAGGGGAAGGTTAAAAAGGGTTCTGTATAGCCATGTTTGAAAAACATGTACAATTGCCAATCTATCAGTTCTTTCCTGATCTCATCCTGGTCCAATATCTCCCTGAAGTCTTGTCAATTGACTTCAGGAGCTGGTCAATCGGTCGTTTCCTGTAAGTACTGTATTCAAGCCTACAGTCTTTGGTCCAGACTCTGGAAAGCGCTGTCGTTCCTTAACAATTGTAAAAACAAGGAAAAGAGCCCATAAGGCTTCTTCCTCGTTCGGTATGCCCAGTGGTGCCAAAAATAGCACCATTCACGTACCCCAGTTCCACCAGGGTGGGTACCTACTCTGTTAGCGGCACTGACACTGTTTCCCTCCCCCTTCATCTTACTTGCTAGATTTTAACAGTATAAATTTCACATATTCTCTGTGAGTCATGAGTACATTATATACCTCTTACTTGCAGACTGAATAAAGTGGGAAGGAAAACAGCATGACTCAGATTTGTAAGTGCTTTTTTCAATAGTAAGCCCTTGATGTTTCAGTCATAATGTATATGCACTGAATGAGTATAATTATAATAAAGAAGGGAAAAAGAAGAGACATTCTCTCACTATAATAAGGCAGTAGGAGACTCACTGTCAGTTAAATAATTTATTCCAAAAGGAAAAGAATTTAGGACACTATTTAAGATTATTTTAAAATCGGCATGTTCAGCACTGGAAAAAGCAAAGGAGAGTGGAAGCAGGAAGTCTTTTACTCACAAAGTAGCATTCTTTGAAACTTGGTATGAATATAGCAATGGAGGAACAACTCTTAAATGCTTCAGAAAGAAAAGAATTTGTGAATTAATCTGGAGAAATTTTGGCAGTATTCTGAGCAGACCAGTAATCTGTGTCATATGAACTTGAACTATTTCTTTTAACATAGCCTGACTGGTCATTCAGCTCAGAGGCCATGTCAGCTGAAGAAAATAAAAAACCACTGAATCAGACTGAAAAGGTCAGAATACTGCTGAGATATATCAACACATCCAATTAAAGAATAGTCAAAGTTCTTCAGCCACTATATAAATATATATGTATGTATGTATATGTATGTAAATGTACCATCCATGCATATATAATCACAAATGCTCATAGTTTCTACATGCATGTATATAAAACCAATATGCTGCAAGTACAGTCAGATTTCCAGATACCAGTCTCATAACCTGTTTATATAGCATTCCTAAGGATTTAATGTTAACACTATAGGGAAGGGCTATTTAGTGAATGACTAAGTAAATGCTGTATGTTTTCAAGAATCATATTAGGTCTTTCAAGCACATTTCTTCCGGGATTGATCACATTCTTTTAAGCTCTCAATTCATTTTGAGCCCATCTCAATGACTGATTTGCTATTGCAAGTTATTATCACTTAAAATGCCTGATAACACTTCAAAATTTTGGTTTCATTCTTATATGCTGGTAGCTTTTCTCTAGGATGATTGTGACAAGTAAAACAAAGAGAATATCTTTTTTTTTCCTTAAAGTAGAAAAGACATTTTGTTAGAACGAGAAATCATCAGTAATCCTAAATAAGCAATCTCTTCTTCATTTCATTGGACTGCACTTACAACTTCTTTCATCTCCTCCTTGCTTTTCTTGAAGGTTCACTATGCTCACCTCTACACCTGACTTTTCTATATATATTTTCTAAGAACAAATATTCAGTAACATATTTTAGATCCAGATGAGTCACTAGTTGTAACGGTTGCCTGGATATGGTCTTGGCCTTGAAAGATGTATTGTCGAGCTGAGTCCTTTAGGTAATCAGAAGGGTACATGTTGAGGTCTCAGAAGGGTTAGCTTCTGGATCAAGCTCTTTTCATGAAGAGAATCTCCCATTAGAGAGGTGATAGCATATAACAGTGCTGGCAGAGTCAAGCATTGGACTTGGGATTGGAGCCCTTCGAGCCACCTGTTTGCTTTATGTAGCTTCACTGTCTTTGGTAATCTTTGGAGGTGCCAGAGCATTGCAGCTAATAGCAGTAGACCATACTTGTCAGTATTGTCGTTTCTCTAGTTTCAGGAGGTCTTGATCTCGAAACTAGAGAATATATAAGCGTACAGTTTGATTCTGAATAGTGAAAAAGAAAGTCCAAATCATCTAATTATTTGGTGTTTCTCTGTCTGATTTTATATGGAAGAAGCTAAACTTGATTATTGAAATTAAAGATCTGTGGTTTTGGTCTACTGTTCTGCTATCAGCTGACCTGATTTTATGACCACGCTTCCCCTGCTGGTTTCCCAATACTTCAGCAGAAAAAGGAAGAGGAGAATGAAGGTTTATTTTCTGGAATTATTGATAATTTAGAATTATCAGTGTGTCTCATTCTTTCTTAAGTTCCTTTCCTTTGAAATCAGGGAGGGCCTGGAAATAATTGTTTCTCAAATGCTTGAATTTCTAATGTAGAAGTTTGCATGACTTCAAAAACTATTTCTCTCAAAATGAAAGAAAAAATTAACTTGTAAAAAATCCTTTCTGTAGTCTAATGAGATGTCTAAGAAACAGAGTATCTACAAACTTAGAAAACTAGTTGGTGACCAGGAAACAGGCATTTCCTTTGCTTCACATAAGTTAAATGCTATTTTTATTATTCTTCAAATTAGTGGCTATGTCTTGTCATATAGGTTGCTTTCAGGGACCACACGATATCAAATGTATTTTTTGTCTTTGTAACTCCTACGGCTTTGAATAAAATTTGTAAGGTTTCAAGACCGTTGAGTTACCTAGAGTTGCAGATCCTCTTTTTAAAAGTCTCTTTGAAAATCATTGTCATCTCTGCCAATTACAATCAACTGTAAATTAAAGAACTGATTTTGAAATTAACAATGCGGGCCTGTCCAGTCATGCTTCTCTGAATACCAACCCATCTCAACAGTTATCACTCATCAGCACTTGGGCAATTTCCTTTATTTCTTTAAACCAAGCGTGCACTGTCTTTTTTTCATTCTTTCACTGATTGAAATTGTCTCACCTGTTATTTTCCACCAAAGTAACTTCTCAATTTTAAGAATAATTTTTATAGTACTCCTTTTTCTTCCAGATGAGAATTTATCATTTGCTCATTTTTACTCTTTACTTGTGAGGCGACTGAATTTTTATTCTCTGACTTTCATGCCAGTAGCACCATCTGTCCTAGATCTAAAATAAAAATACTTTAATTAAAATCTCAAGTTGAAGATTTCTTCTTTACTCTTCTTTACTAATTCCTGAATCAGTATGGTGTACTTTTTGAAATAACTCTCTTCTGATATCTTTCAGATTGATTTTGTATTGCTTTCATTCTGAACTTCTTCTCCTTTTTAGAACATTATTCCAAGTTACCTGTCATATTCATTTAGATATCAAAAAGCTATCAATTAAAATTAAAAATAAACACCATCCCATGTTGTAGCTACGTATCCTTCCAGAGGAAAAGCAAATTGTTTACAAAGATTTTGACAGCATTTGCAACTGCATAAATAACGGAGAAGAGGTATGTTGCCTCTGTCTCTTACACCCTTTGTGTTGTAGAATCTTATGGCTCTGAGACCTTTGATGTCCTCAAGGCCATTCTGTGGGTACAGATTCTAAAAGTCTGACATTTATTATTATAAAACGTTGACGTTTATTTCCCTCTTCTTTATGCCACTTCAGAGTGAATCTCTTTCTGGTACCAGATCATAATAAAAAATAAAATCTAACATGTCAGAGGCATCTAAAAAGTGAAGAAAAATTTTAGAATAGAGAAATACAATGGTTTACTTTTATCTACTCCTTTTAATATAAGCCCATAAGGAAAGTTGGTAGAAACAGTTAATGAAACTTGAGAGCTTAATATAACAATAATTTGAAACCTTAATATAAATTACAGGAATACCTTTTTTGTCTTTTCTACCTGAAACATAATTCATCTTTGGAATTCTGTCACTGGACATCAGTGAAATCAAAAGCTTAGCTCCGTTTAAAGGATTTCCTGTATGTGTGGGCATTCTCCATTACTTCATAAAGGTTTTAAAATAGAGTTTATTTAAGCATTCATTGCTCTTCTGTGGTTATACTCTTCTGCATTTCTGTAATTATAATCACAGAAAAACAAGACAAGAAGGAACCTCAGAATGTCATTTTATTTTATTCCCCTGTCCCAAGGAGGGCCAGGTAAATAAAAGAATCATTTCTGAAAGATGTTTGTCTTAAGTTATGTTTAAAAACTTGCCTAGTACAAGTTTGGACATCCTCAGTGGACAGATTATTCCTTACTAGTCTTTTAATTTCTTGTAAGCTGTCTGAAAGATCAGGTGCTAGACTGAATTGAGAACAAAGTGTTGGGCAAAGTAGACTGGATTTTTCAGTTCCGGTATGGCTGTTCTATCTCTAAACACAGACTAGAAACATACTAAGAACCACCGAAATATATGCTCTCTTTTAAAACTGAATAAAGACCTTTCCTGAATAATGAAAACAGTATTTGCATATCTTTGTACCAACAAAGAACTCTGCTTAGAGCCTTACCCAGTCTCTTCCTTGCTGCCTACTAGATAAATAAGGAAAAACAACGCATAAGGTATATCCATACTCGTTTTAAGCATGCCTAAGAAAATTCTCAGGTGCTGGAATGCAATTGCCTATACTCTGAACAGTTAGAGTGGTCCCTGGCATGGATGTGGTCCAGGTTAACTGGCACTCTCCCAAACAATTCCTGTCTATGGCTCAAGGAGAGTTCCAGGGACTATTCCCCACTGGACAGTTTGCATGCAGCTACCCTATTTTGGAAATGAAAAAAGTTTGGTACCTCAGACACCAGCGGTTCTGTGACACTTGGCCTCGGTGCCAGGAGTGTTCCCAGACATGTTGGTATTACTAGTATATGTAGTCTCTTACTGCTCGCTTCAGAACAACTATTCTCAATAACAGTTATTTTTATGTTATTCTGCTACAGAATTATTTCTTAAACAGTTTTTCATTAGAAGAAATGTGCATTATCAGTGCTTGCTACACTAACACAACAGCAATCAAAATTACATGGTTTCAGAAATGTAAGTCTGCATCTGCATGATAACTGGAACAACATTTTGATCTAACAAATCACTTTGTGATATGTACTAAGTGCTTTGCTGAATTGGGACCCAAAGCTTCAAGAAAGATTCTTGGTCTGACTGAAAGCCAATTGAATCAAGATTTTACAATCAATTTTTTGAAATTCGCTCATAGTATTGTATACCTCACAACTACCTAACTATCCTCGCTAAATTTTTGAGTATATCAGCTAACCAGGAGTCTAAGAAATGGCATCAAATTAAAATCCTTGGTGCATTTATGCTTATTTGGGAGGTGTTTCAAATTAATTTGTTTTAGTTTTCTCCTGCTTTTAAATTTACGCTGTTATGTTGTGACTAAAGCAACTGCTTTTGCAGGTGAAAGGATACAATAATTGGTGTAAGGCAATTTAGAAAAAAATACTTTTACCTTGTATTTTTGATAAGTTGTGTGCCACATACACAATGCATGATTTTGTGGTATAAAAATCATTGTCATTCACTAGAAAGACAACCATCTTATACAGAATAAAATCTTCATATCACACAGTTTGTTTTCCGTGTGTAATTGTATTCAACCAACAGGCATAAATATCATTCCTGCCCAACAATAGTGTAATTCTGCCCATTCTTATGTGTGGTTTCATGTTATACAAAAGAATACTCCCATCTTCCTAGATATCCATGAAGTGTATATACAATCAACTTTGCAGTTGAAAGGAAATATTCAGCAAAACGGAAGTACTGGAAATTCATAAGTTTGAATAAATTCTCCCCTTTTTTTTTTTGCCTTTCTTTCATTAACATTTTAATAATGACTATGAAAAGCATATCCTTATTTTATCTCCTGTATTAAATTTATTGCATTTATTCTTCTGTCACTGTATAACTGATTTTATTCCTTGATTCTGCCATTGATAGTCAAGGAAGCTAATATATTCCCTTAAAAAATGGATTTCCCTCTCCTAAGTGCAGCAATGAAGTATTTTTCTTCCTAATGTTTGTAATGAATGACTACAGGTGCTTTCATTTGGAATAACTCAGTGGAATACTTTCTTCAATGTACTAACTACACATTGTATTTTTGTTTCACGTTCTTTCTAAGGGTCATTTATAACTCTTGTTTCATTCATGGAAAGCAACCTAAAACATTCAATACATCTGCTACTGCAAAAGCAGTTATACCCTAAGTTCAAAAAATGGTGCTGACAGTGTATTGCAAATGATGCTGAGTAATATAGTCTTGATCTATAAAAGCTCACAGAAACTTCAGTTTTAAAGAAACAGGCCCATAAATATTTCATAATACATATGCACAACACATAAGAATTACTAAACATCCAGAGCAACCTACGTTAAGTATAAAATGCTTTCTTTGGTCTCTTTCTTGGTCAAATGACAGTGAATGCTCAGGACAATGAAGATCATGTTCCCCTGCACTTCTGCTGTCGATTTGGACACCATGAAATTGTAAAGTTCTTACTCCAGAGCAGTTTTGAAGTTCAACCCCATGTGGTTAATATCTATGGAGACACACCTTTACACCTGTGAGTCACGTGGAGAAGTTCTATTTTACTTTGTTTTGGCCTAATTAGAAAGCTGTCATCGTTAACAGCTTTTTACTCACTTCATCTTCAGCGCTTGTTACAATGGAAAGTTTGAAGTTGTCAAGGAAATAATTCAGCTCTCAGGAACAGAAAGTCTCACTAAAGAAAATATATTCAGTGAAACAGCTTTCCACAGGTGAGATGTTTAAAATGTCATTATCAATATAATTTCACGGATAGATGCATGCAGTACACCTGAAACAACAAATGGCTCACCAACAGCCAGATGAGGAGCAAAGTAGTGAGCTTGACATGGATGTTGAGTTTATACCTCGAAATATAGGAGAGGACATGAAATAAGAGGTAGAACCACATAGTAGCTGAGGAGACAGAGAGCAAGGGAGAGAAAAATGTTAGAATGGCATCAGGTTCATCAATATCTTTTTGAATAGTGGTTTCTCTTTATGTCCAGTTTGGAAGCTGGGTTTGGAATCTGTTACACCCAGAAGCCTGCTGGCTTCTAGATAGTCTAACCTAGAAGTAAGGTGGCAGAAAAAAATTTTTCATGATGCTATAAAACTGTAAAGTGTTATTTAAGAAGCACTTTGCAAAAGAGACGATTCATTTGGCATGGCAGAATTCATTTGTACAAAAATAATTAGAATGTTTCTGAAACAACAGAAAAGAATATATTTGCTTTGGTGGATTAATCTTGCATTTGCACATTTCTAAAGATCCTCTGCTCTCTTACTCTATTTTTATTTCTGTGTAGCTCTTTTGAAATCTTTGCCTACTGAAAGTATTTTGTTCTTTCATAGACTGTACTAGTCACTTTTCCTGTTATTTTTGCAGTGCTTGTACCTATGGAAAGAACATAGAACTTGTAAAATTTCTTCTTGACCAGAATGTTGTAAGCATCAATCACCAGGGAAGAGATGGACATACAGGTAACATCATTACCCTTATTGTTTATAAGTACATATCAAATCAGCACCAGAAAGTTTGGAAGCCATACGCAGTCAGGATTTCCAAGGTAATTCCCATGGCAATTTGATGATGAGCATCCCATTACCTTTCAGAGAGATCTCAACTTTTTTGAAATATGTTTGCAAGCAGGCATAGAAGTGATAGGAATTCAGTGAGTACGTGTCAAACTCTTCAGCTTGTACATGAATGACAAAACCTGATGTAAACTGATTCTCCTGTAGTTAGGCTTCTAAACAGGTTTAAGAATTAGGCATTAAGTGTTCTTCTTCTGGGAACTGGGCGTTCTCATCACTCAGCAGAGCGAGTTCAGGGCATGGAGCATCTCCCAGCATTCGGCCTGAAAGGGACCCAGCACAATGTAGTGAACAAGTGAGCTGCAGGTGGTCTTTGCAAGACCGTTGCTCTGCACTCCAGCTGGAATTTCAGTGGGACATAGGAGAAAGGATTTGTGTTCACTGCACTGTATTTCAGTTTCTGATCGTGATATTGAAGGGGGGAGGGGCAGAGGAGATAAAAGTATCTATTCTAAGAAAAAATACGGAAAAATGAGATGTACAGTGAGAAGTGAAGGTGAAGTAGGCAGAGCAGTTGTGAAGAGTTTGGAATACAAGAAGGAGAAAACTGAGTCAAAATGGAAATGTGGGCAGAGAAGGAAGAAGCGAGAGGGAGGCTTTGGTCAAACTGGCAAGAAAGAATATAGTGTCTGAAAAGCTGCACATCTCCATTTTTCTATTACAGGCAAAGAAGAAAGAAAGCCTTCTTTGCTTCTGTCTGCTTTTCTCACACAGAGTTGTTAAATGTGATTTGCAGGTAATAGAGTAAATGATGACATGTGCTGTGTAGCAGGCAATAGATTGGTTCTTGCAGCATATTTTATTTTCATCTAATGCCTCAGGTATTTGTCTGATAATATATTCCTTTATCAAGGAAATCAATTTAAGCTTTATAGCTGTTACTGCAAATCCTGTTATGATGTTCTGAAAATTGTACTTTCCACTGTGACTTTTTCCTTTTCTAATGTTCTAGGATTACACTGTGCTTGCTACCATGGTCATATTCGTCTAGTACAGTTTTTACTGGATAACGGAGCTGATATGAATCTGGTAGCTTGTGATCCCAGCAGGTCTAGTGGAGAAAAAGATGAGCAGACCTGTTTGATGTGGGCTTATGAGAAAGGTATTCTGATTTTCCAGTTTCTGCTGCAAAATCCGTGGAACAGTACAGCCAGGAGATAACAGTACAAAATAAACCCTCAGCCACTGTAGACTGGGAGCTCTCAGCATCTGCTTCCAGCTCCTGGTATCAAGGTTTATAAAAACCAGCCCTTACATTTATCTTCTCTCAGATACACTATTAAACAGATTCCACAGAAGCTCAGAGACAAGAGTATTTATGCAGTGCTAAAATGAAAACATATAGTCTGCTCAGAAAAGGCAATTTCTGCCTCTGGTATGCGCGTGAGGAGTTTCAGTTTTATTACCGAAGGAGGCACTGCAAGGAGCTATGCATCAGTCAGTAATCTTTAATTCCTGTAAATGTGAATTAAAGCAGGGCATTTTGCCTGGTTCCTATTACACTGTTCTGTATGTTCACTGCACATCAATTGCAGCAATGTGTCAGTTTTCTGTCCTGCTTGTATTTCAATTTTCTGTTCAAATAAAAAGCTTTATTTCTTCTTGCAAATTTTTTGGATGTTCACATTTATTTATGAATTTCATCTGTGATTGATAGCTGTGTATTTATTTGAGCTACCCTTCCCTTTATTTTTCCTGATATTGCCATTCCATGCGTCTGGACTATGGAAGGGTATTTAAGCAGTCTTTCATGGATTTGGTGGAGAAGTGACCCTCTTCCTTGCATTTGCCTTTATGTTAATGATAATGATAACACTTTTAAAGTTTAGCTCATACATCCTCTAAGTTTGGATATCCAGAAAGCTGCCATCTGTAGAAACATGTCCTTGACCTAAATTCCTTTGCTTTGGAGAAATTTTCAAATGTATTGACACTCTTTGGTGCAAGCTCATGTCCCTGGCAGCTTAGTGAGCCAGCAGAACTTCTTTCCTGCAGGACCTACATTCTGATTACAGAATGAGAGGCAGCAAAAAATCTTATCTGCCTTTTCTGTTTCCTCTGATATCTTTAATAGTTTGAGATTTTTTTTCTGAAAAGGTGAGAATTTTTTTGATTTTGGTTTTAAATGCATAAGGCTGTTCAAAAAAGGCACTTTCTGCTGATGGTGCATTCATGACTGATTTAGGTGTTATGAATGGAATAATCATTGCAAGAAATAATGCTTTTGAATCCAGCAATGCTTACTATCCTGCAAATGCCTCAATGCATAGTATTTTAAGTGGTTATGGCCGAACTAGTAGACAGTGATTAGTTGCTATTATTCACGGTTATTATTATTTTCTGATATGTTTTAGTTATGATTATTTTCTTGGTTTATTATTGATCTACTATATAATAGTAATAACTGTTGTCATAAAATACATGAAAAATGCTTGATAACTCTTTCTATACGGTTAAGTGAATAATGATCTATTAGGACTTTTTAATACCAGTGTGATGCAGATTTTGGAGGAAATTTTACAGATAGCCCATTTGAAGTCACAGCTAAACCCAATAGTAAATTGCAGATTATTTTGATTAATCAGTTACCATTATCCTTTCTTTGGGAATATTTGTTCCAGACAGAAATAGTTCGCTTTCAACTACTGTACTAAATTGTCAGCCACTTGTATAGAAGTATCCCTTTATTTCTTTTCACAAATTAAATCATGCAAATCATCTTGGTGGATGCAATATTTCTAACATAATGAGTGAAATGATAAAGCGGATTCTGTCAGAGCTGTCGTGCGTTTTTTGCAAGACTCTAGAAGCTCTAGCAAACACGTGCAGCTTGTGAGCTTACTGGCATTTCCCTGGCTAGTTTGTGCTTATTGTAAGCCAAAAAGCTTGCATTCATTAGGGTCTTGATGAAGAATATTCTCAAAGAAATGCCAATAAACTGTGCCATCGAACTGACAGGTAATTAAAACTGCTCCAAGTAAATGGAGCCAAGAGAGCTGTTGAAATGATAGGTAGCATTTGGTATGTGATCAAAGCATCATGACCTCATTCCAAATGCATCTCTTTTTCTTCTTTTCTTGCCTATTCTCGTCTTTGTAAGCAGTGAACAGGAACATTTTCTATTGGCATGGCTGTATGAATAAGCAGTGCTGAGCACAAAGCAAGAAATTGAAGATGCTATTTTTTCCCGTATGTTTTCTAGGAAATGGGGGAAACTGTAAGTTAAAGTTGGAGGATGATGGGACATTCCCCCCTCCTCCATAACCATTACAACACTATTTATTATGAAAAAGACTGCAATGTAGTAAAACTATAGATTTTAAGAAAAAAACTGATATTGGCAAAATGTACAAAAATACTGAGGGAAAACTCAGCTTTGAAAAGTTTTCAACAGATTTTTGAACGTTACTAAATGGAACATTGCACATCAAAAACCTGAGAGATTTAGTAGGTTTGTGTGTGCACCACTCTTGTCTGCTTCCTTGCAATGAAGAGTGATGAATAAAGCAGTTGTCTACTGCAATATACTGTACAAATTTTGTCCTGTTTAGGACATCAGAACTTAAGTGTTTTCAGCCATTGCCTTCTCTTGTAGGGCTTATTGAAGACTGTTCTCAACTTCCATTTTAAGATTTCTATAGCATCGTTTTTTCTATTGCCATGTATCACATCTTAGTGTTTACCCATGTAAAAATAACATGCTTGTTTTTATTGGCAGGTATTTCCCTGTATTTCTGTGGTTAAGAATCATATTATGTTTCTAGTCAGTGTTACTGAACCTTTATTTCTGTTTTGTAAATAGACATACTGTTCATTTTTTAAAAAATCACCTAGTTTTGTATAAATCAATATATGAAAATTAAGTCAAGACTATTGAGCTTATCTGCAAATTCATATATTTCCTTTTTTTTCTTAGGTCATGATGCCATTGTGACCCTTCTGAAGCATTATAAAAGACCTCAAGATGAATCGCCCTGTAACGAATACTCACAGCCTGGAGGAGGTATGGTTTGAGAAATCACTTTCTCTCTCACTGAAGGATCTGATCCAAAGACCACTGAAGTCTCTGGGAATGTTCCATTGATGTCAGTGAGCTTTGAATCAGTTCTGTTTGGCCCAAAGAAAATTAGTGACATGAGAATTCTCATTTTCTAGGTATCACATATCCCTCATTTACGTCAAAATTCTTCCTTTATCTTAAAACAGAGTTGTCACTTTGTGTTTCTCACTAGAGAGAAAAGCTAAAAGCTGTGAAATGAAGATCGTTCCTTAGTAATCATTCCTCATACCTTTTTACGTACTTAATACTTGTTTAGCCATTCTCTTTGTGCTGTGTATCTCTGATATTTCTTTGATGACTGGTACGCAGTATGTTTCTAAATTCAGTCCTTTTCATATTTTTTAATATCTGTAGATATCTAATTCCCCCTTGGGAAGAATCAATTACTCTTTTTGTTACAAAAATACTCATTGCTATTGGCAATTAATTGACAAATGGCAAAAAGAGTGTTTGTTACTAATGCAAGCAGTGAGATAAGCTTGCAGCATTTTGCAGTGTGCTGAGAATGCTGTCTGTAGAGAAGGTAAAAGTGTACATTATACGTTGCAGCCTGTCCGGGTCATTGACTCTCCCAGCCACAGAATCAGAAGAATTTTATAGTCATTAGCAGGATCAATCTGATTCTTACAGGCCCAGCTCCACAGAGTACTTTACATTTCCAGATTTTTTAGTAAGGCTCTAGCATGTGTAAATCTACAGGGGACCAAGTTTATGCATGCATTAGAATCCATTTTGGCAAGTGACCAACACATCCAGATGGGTTTTTTAATGCTAACTGCTGAAAGAATGCAGCTCTTTAAGCAGAAAAACAAGAGACCAAATTTTTGGTACACCGTGAAGGCTGAGATCTGAAAAATCTAGACAGTGAACTGCACAATGAAATTCACTGGCGGCCCACTTGTAAGAAATTGTTAATCTGATCTGAGTTCCTTTAAATATCTGGCTGATATAAAAAGCTACATAGGCCTTTTTCTACACTGATGACGTTCAATATTATTTCATGAAGTTAGTGAAGCTATGTCCAAATTACTATCACGAATGCTGCAATATAGCATGTCACAATCATATGTGTGTGTGTGTGTGCTTACATGTGTTTTCATCCCCTTATTTTTTTTATTCTTTGTGCAACCGTTGACTTGCTAATTTATCAGTACAGCTGCCTATATTGTCTTCAAAGACGATAAAATTTATTCTATTCTTTTATTTCAGATGGTTCCTATGTGTCAGTTCCATCCCCTCTAGGAAAGATTAAAAGCATGACTAAAGGTATTTTCAATGGCAAGGGAAAAATCCAGGTTTTATGGTCATCTGCCCACGGTGTTTGTCAGCCTGAGCATACTATATAAGATTCATTATTCCTGGATATTTTTTGTTCAGAAATGTGATGGATGTGTATAAGCAGCAGCTATATTTCCCTAGGATAATCTTAGGAAGCTTTACTTAGCTTGATTCTTTTCCTTTTCAGTTTCTACAGAGGTGCTCAGCACCTCGTCATGGCAAGTCCTCTATTTGTCTTATTTTCATTTACTTTTTAAAAAATACTCAATATTTTGTCTCTTTGTTTTGGAAAAAAAGGTGTGTTTGTGAATTAATACTAATGAAATGCACATGAATCTATGAATGCAAACAAATATCTAATTGAACTCTGCTGTAAAATGCTTGGGTTATCTTCAAAAGAAAAATTCTATCCAAAAATAAATGGTGTTATACTGAAACAAGTATAGACAAAGCATTCATACACACATTTATACTTTAAAATATTTCCTTTTCTTTGTGGTCCTTTGAATTTTTCACTGCAAATATTCACTCTGGATATACTCAAGTGCTTACACCTTTTTTATGTCAGCATTAAAATGTTCCACTTAGAAATATTCTGATAAACTTTTGTTGTCGAACCGTACAGATCAACAAGGTAGAGCTGTTTGCTGAGTATATTAGAGTTGCGGATCAAAGTTCAGATTCAACGTGTCACTGATGAGTAGGTCAGATCTGGAATAACTCTTATAGCGTTGGTAATGAGCACTAATCATTTAGAAAGAAGAAACTCATTCTCTATGTGAAGGCTTTTATGCAACCATCACATGATCCAGGTAGATTATGCTTATGGGACAGTATTGATCTGTGATAAAATTTTAAAGCCAAGAAATACTGAGGCAGCTATAATGTTGCAAAACCGTTTATTATTGGGTTTTATTGTGGGTCCTGAAAGAAAAAAGGACTGGAATACCCATCAGTCAATTTACAGAGGGGAAATCAGCTTTTACTGTGTAATGTTTTTTGTGAAGTTAAGTACTTTTATTTTGCCCTTCCCCATGACCCTGCATTTTACAGATAGGATAACAATTTTCTTTTGCAGAAAAGGCAGATGTTCTCCTCCTCCGTGCTGGTCTGCCCTCACATTTCCATCTTCAGCTCTCTGAAATAGAGTTCCATGAGATTATTGGCTCAGGTACCGGAAATAAGAATGCATCAATTTTATATGTCTGATGTTCACAAGAAATAATAGTTTTATGCTTATTTATTTTAAATCATTTTAGGGTCTTTTGGAAAAGTATATAAGGGACGGTGCAGAAATAAAATTGTAGCAATCAAACGGTAAGTTTCTCAAAGACTTTTCCATTTCATTTAGTTTATGCCCTAGTTTGCAGTACACAAAAAAATGATATTTTTGCCATACTGTTTTCTTCTCCTGTAAATTGTAAGCTATCGAGCCAACACCTATTGTTCCAAATCGGACGTGGACATGTTTTGCCGTGAAGTTTCCATTCTCTGCCGACTGAACCATCCATGTGTCATACAGTTTGTTGGAGCTTGCTTAGATGACCCAAGTCAGTTTGCTATAGTCACCCAATATATTTCTGGAGGATCACTTTTCTCCCTGCTTCATGAACAGAAGAGGTATTCTATTCAGTCTTTGCATGGGCTTATGATACAGAATTCTGAAGACTAGTAAATCTGTGCTGATGCAGATCTGTTCATTATAAGCGAATAGTAAAAGGAACACGCTATAAAATTTGTGGCTTTGATTTAGAGTATTTGGTTTACAAGGGAAATTAGTAAATAATCACAATTATTATTTGGTTGTTATTATTTTACACCATCTATTTTTATATTATATACATTATAAAATATTACTGTGTATTTAAAACAGTTTTAAAGGGTCTATGATTTACAGGTAACAATGATTTACAGATAATTTTTAGTCCATCTGTAAATGTTGAGTAATGTTATAATTCTGTCAAAATCTAGGACTCTGGACCTCCAGTCTAAATTAATCATTGCTGTAGATGTTGCCAAAGGTATGGAGTATCTTCACAATCTCACACAGCCAATCATACATCGTGATTTGAACAGGTGAGTTTCTTTCTTTATTCTAAAAATTCACGGCATATGAAGCACCTGAGTAACAGCAATGGTCTGTAATCTCATCTATGCTTGCAGACTCTTGGTCACTGGCATCTTCAAGAGAACAACATGGCTTTTACATGTGAAAAGTTCTGTTCTGTTTACTTGCTTCAAGTGTACCTAAGTTGACAACACTATACAAAGGACACCTAGAAAGGAAGGGATTTCAAATGTAATAATTACACTTTATAAATAGGAGTTTTCCTAGGATTTAAAAGCATAACATGAACTAAAATGAAAATGTAAGAACAGTCATAGGGGATCAAACCAAAGCCCACTTACTCAGTATCCTGTCTCTGGCAGTGGTCCACAGAGACAAATTTGAGAGCCAAGTATGGGTATAATGATACTGTGTTGAATTCTTTCCCCAGTTCCCAAAAACTTCTGGTTTGGCAACTCCTTTGCAACAGTAGCACCAATGCTACCCACTGGTTTCCAGCAGAAGCCTCATTCTCTCTGGAAATACCAGCCTTCTTTCGTGAGATAAATCCTTCATTCAAACAGGCATTTTTTAAAATTAATACCTGCTGTTGAAGTCAAGTTACGATGCTAAAGTCAAATGTTCTGTTTAACCAAAGAATGATCCTATTTGTGGTTAAGAAAGTGAAAACATCCCTGCAGAATGAAGAAGAAAATCAGACCACTAATGCAAAAAGAAACTGTTTATTTTTTAGTTTAGCTTGAAAAATGCAGTCTTACAAACCACATCTTTTAAGCCATCTTCTGGGATTTATGTACTATAAGTAAGTTAGCAAAAATGGCACAAATTCTGCTTTATACTTTGTCCCCAAATTTTATCACACTTTGCGTTGTTCACTTTCCCCAATGTATGAGCGCATCTGTCTGTGCATATTAAAACTGCTACAAGGATACAAAAATAGCTACTCTTTTAAGAACTGCCAATTGCATACCCAATTGCCTGATTTATACGTGCAGATACAGTGTTTGTGCATGGATATGACAAATATATGATGTTTGGAAGGATATTGACGTAGACTTTTTATTCATTTGGTTAAATGGACTGTAGGGACATTTGACTACATGGAGACTTAAAATTAAAGTACATTAATATAGGCTTTATTCTGCATTTTAACTGTAGCAGAACTAGATGAAATTTGTCTGTTGAAGCATATTTCATACACATTTGGGGTTGACTAAAGATTTTCAAAAAACATCAATTACCAAAATTCTTTTAATTTTAAAAAGCCTAACTCTGCATTTTAGAGGCCTTGAAATGCTTCATTTTGACATTTTAAATGATTTTTTTCTACTCTACTCTACTTTCAGAACAATATGTTTTAAAATGTACTTCTACTTACTCAAATCTCAAAAAATAAGAATGAAAAATGAAATGCTTCATCTTTGTATGAACAAAAATGATTTTGTTGACCAGAAATGTTTGTTCCCCAATTTTTATTTCATAAGGTTATGTTCCATAATGTCTTCTGAGTCAACCCAAAATGAAACAGTCCATAAAAATCACTTATTCATATAGTTCTGTTGATTAATAGAACAACACCGACGTTAGGATAAAATATTAAGTGCAAATCAAATTATTTTCTAGTACATTTTGTGCTAATTGCAGTTCATTATCAAATGATTTGACTGCAAAGTTCTGCAGTAACCAGTTCTGACCGGGTCAGGAGGAATTCAGGGAAATCTTAGAAAGGAAAAGAACAAGCTATGTGAAAGGGTCTCCTAACACAGAAAGAAATCTCTGTGCATAGGTATGTCTGTTCACTATCACCCATTGTTATCTGTACAATTTCTGTATTCTTGCTTAGATTTATAAATAGTGTCTGTCTCAGGTACAAGATGTCAGTGCCACGCTGATCCCTGTGGAAATCCTCCTTCTCCATTTTTACCGGCTGAATAATGTTTGGGCAGTCTGCAGTGCAATCAGGCAGTCAGAGACTTCTCAGCTCACACCTCAACCTTCAGCGCGGAGACAGGCAGTAAGCACTCCTTTATAAAGGCCTGTGCTGTCCACTCTGCTGCACTTAACTTACATCTACCTTGACAGAAGCGCCCTTAGAGAATCCCAGAAAGTCAGTGAGGGCATGATATTCCTTTTTTGCAACTGTCTTCTATCCTGCCTTAACCAGGCAGTGCTTTTAGTACATAAATGTTGCACCTCTTGATCCTCTAAAACAGGATATTTCAATGTTTTTTCCACTATTGGCAGTGACCTGTTTGGTTTCTAATTTCCAAGTGTATTACTGCTCCCTTATATTGTTGCTTTCTAGTCTGTAGGGATATTTTCCAAACAAAGTCAGCTTTTGAAAGCGTCAGCTAATACTTCTTCAGTTTCTGTCGCCCAGTCTCACTTTTTCTCTTGGATACGGAATTTGCTTAGTCCTGACATCTTGTCATTTTAAAGACTTTATGACCTTTGGGTAACAGACATGACAAAATGCTGGATACTTAATTCATTGTTTTCTGTCCTTGTTGATTGGATTTCTCATACAGGCAAGTGATTTCTTCTACTGCCTTAGAAAGATGGATACAAATATTTTTAATATGTCTGTTTTTTTAATTTTCCATTTGTGAATTCTCAATTTTATTTTCCACATAGCAGTGTATTTTCAAATAACATTTACATGCTCTGGTCCAACTATAAGCGCATGTCATTTTCTTTCATTACTTAATTTTCTTTCCTGTGTTTGTTTCATCTTTTTTACCTTTCATATTTTTCCGAAATCAGCTGTTCACCTTTTCCTGGTTTATGCTTGACTCATCTGATATAATTAAAAGCATCTCTGATTGCATCATGTCTAAGAGCTGATATCTAGTGCAGGTCTGTGCACTCATTCAGTTGTCTTTGCTGATATCTGCATGGAAGCACTGAGTTCTCACTATATGCAGAGAACATACGTTCTTGCTTTTCTACCTATGAGGAAAAGTCTCATAATGCAAGGCACATATTTCAGTGAAAGATGGTGGAATACCTACCTGTATTGCATTGTGAGGCTTTACATGGAAACGCCTCTTTCTGCTAAAGACAAAACGTGCTTCTAAGTTCTGCTAGTCTTTTAACACAAAAGGCATATTTTTCCAACTGGGAACTGTTGGCCTTTGCTGTCACACAGGATAGCTGTACACTGGTTTAGGCAAAAAACTTTCTATCTTTACCAGGCAAAACTTCCGCTCTTACTAGGCATCCATATATATCCTCAGTATTAAGACAGACATTCAGTTCTTCAATATTGGCCTGAGTCAGGACTGGTAACAGTTTCTAACTATGCACCTTTACTGTTTCGACAAGTGGATCTTAGCCCATCTCATACCACAAGGTCTGGATTAAGACCAAAGAGAAACTCCCAATATTACAATTTCCCAGCTAATGCTCACTATAAGGAAGATCTTGGCACTGGAAGGAGAGTTTCTACATTAACCTTTCTTCCTCAAAAAAAAAAAAAGGGTAAGAGCACCACAGCTCCACCAGTACTAGAGACTGTTGGAAATGTTAAAGAAAAAGCTAGTTTAAGTCAGACTTTAGTGACTGTCCAATTTTAAAAGCGGAAGACAGATTCAGTAGAATTTACTGTGCGAAAAGAAGCCTGGATATCATCCTGTGAAAAAGGGTGGAAGAATGGCTTCTTACTAGTTTCTAGCTTCTCCACTGCCTAACACAAATATTCACCAGCTTTTCTCCTCCTTCTTCTTACATCGGAGGTTCCCCTGTCCTCACCCCACTGGCCTGACTTCGTACATGTCCTCCACTTTCTCACTGTCTCTTGTGAATCTTCTTCATATACCCATATCCTTCCTTTCCCAGTTTTCTTGCAAGCTACCAAGTTGTAGAGCTGAAAGGGAGACGGTGTTTGAGAAAAGGTAAGAGTTCTTGTCTCCATTGTGTTGCAGGCCAAAAGCCCCATGTCTGAGTGTCACAATGTAAGTAACCGTTTTAGGACAGCAGAGATCCAGACCTCCTGGTTCAGCTCTATACCTCACCACTACTGGCTGTTAGAAAAATAGTTCTGCACTGAAAGATTTTAAATAATGTTTTCCACAGAAACAGCATTCACTAGAGAGCCAAAGAGCATATCATTACCTCACAGAACTTTTATCAGATGTATTTGTGAGGGTCAAAAGATAATTTGCTGTAATGACATCAATGTGGCTGATGTATAGTGCTGAGAGTAGCTTAACTTCTGAAACTTTTTAGTGCAAAAGTAGAAGTCATGTTTTCAGCGTGAGTCCCAGTCAGCCCACAGGCATAATTACCAGATGAAAATCCTTATGATAACTGAAGAGAAAGACCAAGAGTGAAAGTCTGACCCTCTTGTGTTAACTTTTGCCAGTGGCTTCATGGGAGCCTTAAAATTTTTTACCTTACATTTTCACATGAATTGTAACCCTCCTTGTGAATTCTGAAGCCTAATGTAATACACGTAATACATTAAATGAATTTGCAACATTGCTTGACAGAGCTGAGAAGAAACTGAAATAAATGAAGTGTCTCTACCCTGGACAAAGGGTTATCTTTCTACCATTTTGACACTAATAGGGAGTTTTATTTTGCTTTCCAGTTCTGTAAAAATAAGTTCTGACAGCTATCAGCACTGCTAACGTCTGCCGTTGTTACTACTTACATCAAGTCTTACATTAGTGAGGGATTGTAGCCACAATGATTATAGTACTTTGATATCAAAATGGTCTCTTTTTTATTAATTTAACTTAAGCCAAAACAGCTGAACATGATTGGACTGAGCCTTTGAGCGACTAACCTTCATTTGATGGCTCTAACTATCTGTAAAAAGTTTCTGAGAGCTGGCTTAGCGTTACAGATGAAAGAAGGGATGGAAGCCTGGTGGTAATGGGGATGGTGTCTGCAACTCCTCTTTGTTATAAAATCCCCTTATAAAATCTTAAAATAGCAGTTGCCTTTCATTAAAACTACAATGTATTAAAGGTACAAGGATCTTTTCATGGCCCTGTTCTTTGGA